ACACACACACACACACACACACACAAGCACTATTTTCATTTAGACATGATAGTCCACAGATACCTTGATAGGAACATAAGACACAGAACATGACCGTGCCGTGTTGGTCAGTTGCTACACGCCAAGTGCAATGACTCTTTTATTGAAGAACTCTCATCAAGCATGAACAATTGTTTCCTTTGGCTTGTACTAATCAGCCAAAACATTTGAGTACATGATAATGTTACAGACTTCTTTGTGTAAGACTAGGCTACCAGGCTCGTAATCATGTGGTTGCGGGTTTGGGGGTTTCAGCCTCAAGCCTGATGTTGTGTCCTTGGGAAAAGCACTTTACACAAATTTTCCTCTCTTCACCCAGGTGAGAATGGGTACCCAGCCATAGATGATGAAAGATCTTGTCAGTATGTTAGCTTTTCAGTGCCTATAAAAAGGCATCTTGCACTGTATGCTTCCCAAGAAGTTGAGATTGTTCCAGAATGCTATCAGGTCTGCTGGATAATCATATGTGAGGCAGCGTGGTGAAATCAGGCACTCGTCAAAATAACGAAATCGGAGAAACAAATATTTTTCCGCCAGTTCGAAATTTTTATCAAATTTTTACTTTATAGATTTGTGAAATTTTGTAGCATATTCATGAGGAAGAATCTTAAAAGTTGTATCAGGTGTTTGAAAGTGTGCATTGTAGGCGTGTATGCCGTTTAGTTAAACATGTATACAAAGAAGAACAGACTTGACTTGCACATTTGCTGGCTGAGTGGGGAATGGCCCACTGGCTCACCAGTCCTTTAATCTCGTGACGAACTCAGTGGTTACAAAAACATTCATCGGAAATGGTACGAAACACGAACAATGTACACATATCAACATCAGGAGGGACGTAAATCCTGAAATTTTACTTTTATGTTTTTGTTTTTTGCATAAAGTGAATGGTTATCTTTACTTTATTATGTTTATGATTTTGCAAAGGAATTGTATGCTATAGCCCAGTATGAATCATAATGTACAGTCATAGACATTTGGGTCAATGCCTTGAATCAACTAGTATGATAAATTTGTTTTTTTTTCAAATGTTCTTTCATTTACACACTTATCCATTCATTCTCTCTTTCATCCATTCATTCATTCATTCAATTGTTGACTGATTTATTTCCCCAGTCACTCATTTACACAATCATTCTGACAAGAAATTAATGGTTGATTTAACCCATTCTATGGCCCCACAGGTAATCCAGACCGGTCTAAGGTTTGCCAGCTTGCTCATCGCCGTCAACAAATTTGATAATGCTGACGGCGTCCTGGTCAGTACCATCAGCTTCCTGAAGCAAAACTCTGAGCTGGACTCATGGCTTCCCCGATATCACGCCTATGTCAAACTGATGCAGGCGCGTAATTTGTCCTGCAAACCCGACAAAGCGCAGAGCACTTATTTTGATGCGGTTCAGATGCAGTTCCAAATTCAGATGATGTCCTTTGGTCAGAATCTCATCCAGCAAGGAGCCATGCATGCTGAGACGAGCTTCATGTTGTTGGAGTACGGCTCTATTGTCTCAGCTCTTGGCTGGGCACGAAGAGCTCTAATGGTGAGAAATTTTAGCTGTTTTTTTATCCTTATTTCAGGTGGCATTCTCTCAGTAAAGTTATTTTCCTTCTTTTCCTTGGTTTTGATCTCTTGACAATTATTTTTGTTCCCAACTCTTGTCATAATCTTAGTTCCAGTCTTTGACCCTGTAAAAATTGCTTTGTATATCAAAGTATGATATCTCCTAATTATAGAAATAGAAGGCAAAAGACATGAACAGTGTATTTAGAGAATTGGAACAGTTGACTGACAGAATAATAATATACATTTTTTATAGCATCCAAGCAGAGGGAAGAGTGATGAACCATGATTGCCAATGTCTGCTTTAGATTTTGTATTTTATTATGATATTCTCCGAACTTGAGATTTTAAAGTGTATTGAGCATTCTTTAAAAAGTTGCAATATGAAAATTTAAATGCTCTTTATTGTCTTGGCTTTGATGTTTTGTTCATGTCTCCTTTATTCTCGTTCACCGTGACCTTCAGGAAGTTGACCCCGAGGACAGTGCGGCTATCGTGAGGACTTTGTGTGTGGGCGTGAGTGCCTACTGCGCACAGTGGCTGGTCAGCAAAGCGGAGATGCTGGCTGTCTACGCCGTCCAGTTTGCCAGGTGACAGTTTTTATTTGGATCCTGTTGCGTTTGGGATGTCTTTTGCTCTATACAATTAACAAAAATAAATGAACCTTGTTGATTTGGATTATGGTCAAAATTGTGTGAATATCCTTGATTTCTAATATAGTGTTAGTGCCCTTTATGTTAACTAGAAGTAATACGTACATTCCTCTTATAAACAGAGAGCAGTCTAGTTTTTTTTTTAATATACTGAGGACGAATGAAATATAATAATTTCTTGTCATTTGACGGGGGGGGGGGGGGAGGAGGAAGGTAGGAGAGTTGTACTGTTAGCTGGTATTATGCTGGGCTGTGGTGTTCACTGTAGAAACTTGTTGAGCTATAAAACCAATTTTGTGCTCTCTTTCATGACATCTTATCATCTTCAATACATTGAACATAGGTGGAGAAAAGTATTATTTCATCTAAAAGGAGAGATTTCAGATATGTTATGAAACTTCTGATGGGATATTAACTGTATGATTCGACCAGTGTAACTGGTCAGTTCATTTGACAACTTTTTTCTCTTTTCTGAGGCATATACAAATCTTCCAAAGGTAGCTCCTGTTACCTTAAAACATGACTACCTTGGATGGCTTTCCCCTAGCATCCTGTTTTTTCCCCCCTAATTATTAAGCACAAAAGTAATAGGTGGGAACTACCATTTATAACATTATTCAGTAGGATATATAGAGAAGTGATATTTATGATGACAGGATATCATCTAGTGTTCTCTCTTAATTCTTTTGAAATGTGTCAATTTTCAGAGAGAAGTTTGGAGAACGGCATCCTCTTTACATTGAGGCCCTTCAGCATTTCTGTCAGTTCAACAACGAATTCAAACAAGACGCTGTGGGACTCCAGGCTGCAAATGTAGGACATGGACATTTTTAAAAAGCATATTTCGACTGCTCAGTGTATTAGGCTGAAAATATACTGCTGCGCACAACTGAAGGGCGCCGCTAAAAAAGTCATTCCCTCCTCTTTATTTACCTTTGGTGATTTCACTGACACGACTAGACATGAGGAGTTGTGAGGCGATCACTGAACTGTATACGCCTGCTCAACGCCATTTTTTTTTACACAGTCGGATGGAGTTGCGCTGACCTATGGGATCACCACTTCTGATCTAGCTGCTTGTCAATTTCGCAGCGCAGTTCAGTTGTGCGTGGCAGTATATTTTCAGCCAACCTCCGTCATTTGTCATTTTTCTCAAAATAGTATATCGCGGAGTCTTGCATTCCCCCAGGGCGGTGCCACTGACTGAAGTGTCTTTAGGCCATTCCCAAAGCGGAGAAATTAACATATTCTTATGCACAGTAGAATTGTACATGGGCTGATTTATCAATGTCATGCTCATACTGTGTTGGAACAACATAGGGGGAACTGCTGCTTTTTTCTTTCCTCATCCTTACTATCGTCATTTTTCCTCTACTTCTTTTGTATGTTTGTCACTCTCTTGGTAACTGCTATTTCCGGGGTGCCTTAATAATCAAAGCAGACTTTGTGCTGTTGAGGCTAGAGAGGTGAGCAGAGTACGCCTGATTCCTCGTTTGGACTTCTCTGTTGACATCCACCTCTTGGCACTCGTATGACCTTATGCAGGTGCGTGGTGGATATGTTCGTCAGTGAGCTCCGAAATCCGTTTAGAAAATTTATTATTTTAACAATATTTTTTTCTCAGCTTATTTGTCTGTTATTCAGAACTGATAGAATCTTGATCTTTAAAGTTTTTATTATGTCTTCAATAAGTTTTAACGTCTGTTATGCTTGTACGATTCCCATAAGGGTTAATTGTTTTTGTCCTTGAAAGAGAAACAAATGCTTTACAGGTTGCTTTGAGGATAACTTGGCTTACATCTTTTTTTTCTTTTTTCCGGAATGTTCCAGGAGCTGCTTGATGCAGCTGAGAAAACGTACGGCTGTGAAAGCTTGCAGGTGGCGTATGCTCACCGTGCCATCAGCAAAGCACGCATGTGCATGCATATGATGGACACTGATGACTACTACAGGCACGCTGTGGAGGCAGTCCGTATTGCCCGGGCTTGCTTGGGTCAGAGAGTACCACAGCTTCATGTCTTCCTGCACACAATGGGTGAGTTTGGGGAAACAGACCAACCACTGAACTTTTTGAACAATACAACTTTTGGTTTGCTGTCAAGAAGTTCTCCTCTTTTTGCTAAGTTGTTAGTCTGTTCTAATTTGTTTTATTGGCTGTTTGCATTCTCATCATTTGTGAAATGTTTTATCTTGTGTGAATGAAGTATTATGCTCACTGATTCTTTTTATTAATGTAAAACGCTCAGACTTATACTCGTACGGGACAGAGCGCTATTTAAATACAATCTATTATTATCATTAGTTGTTGCTTTTCCCTTGTGCAATCCTTATTGAAGGAAAATGACATTATCATATGACAGTTTGCTCTGTTGTGGCTTTATATTCTTCAAAAGAATTTCTGGTGGTTGGAGGGCGCCACTGGCAGGTCTACTTCTTGTCCATCCTTCTTTTGTTTATGGCTGTCTGTCTTGCTTTTTTCGCAGCTCTAAATGATTGTTATTGTGTATTTTCTTCTTTATCCTCAACAATTAAACATGAAAAAGAGCTTAAAATTAATTTCAAACCATACTTTTTCTGTTGGCAACTTTTTCATCCAGGTCTGATAAATATATCCTTTTTAAGTAGAGGTGGTTAGGTAGTCTGGTGCAGTCTGCTCTTGGCTGATGTCGTGTTGATGTCGTGCTGATGTCGTGCTTCTGTAGCGCCGACTCAGCATATATTACACACCACACTTGAACATTTTCCACTCACATTCACAGCCTCAGCATTACAGTGGAAAGCTTTGCACTGCCCTAAGGAGGTTCATGACTCGACTCTTCGATGGGCGGAGGGGGAAGCCAAACTGGCGTATTCTTTGGTGACGGAAACATTCGGAGAAATTAGCCTGAAGTCAGCGCAGATGCTATTGCTGCTGGGCCAGATCTACTCCAAGATGAACCAGTAAGTTATTGCTCTGTGTTTGTTACTGACGCACTATCTTTTGTTTGAGGAGTTACCGAAAGTCAAATTTTAGTTTAAAATACATTCATATGACTGCTATCCGGGATAAATTAAAATCTCCTTTATTCCTAAAAACACATTCAAATTTGCTATTTATTATTTGGACAAAACTTGTGAGAAGTATGAAAATTCATTCAAGCAGTCAATTTCGTACTTTACCTCTATCAATGCCTGAAAGTAGTTTCAAGCAGAGGCAAATATTTGGTTAGTATGTGGTAAGTGGCTATATATCAGGGAGCAGGCATAATTTCAGTTTCTGAAAGTACCAGTAGAAAGTGCACTTAGTGTCAAAGTTCAACCCTTTTTAAAGGAATCCACAACTGAGCTCTATCACAGATCACTTTTCGGATCAATTTTCAAAGCTGGGATAAATGTACCTTTTCTAGGAATTACCATTTATTCCACTGAGCGTTAATTATATATATATTTCACTAAAATCTCAAAATATGTTTCCATCACCCATGCATGTGTTAAAAAATATCTTATCTTTCCTCCGCCATTCATCTTGTTTTAACTTAAGGTGTATTTGAAGAAAGTGAATATTTCCTGAAAGTTTTAAATTTTGTGCTTTGACCAGGCATCCTGAAATTAAAGAGGACTTGTAAGTGGTTATCAACTAACTTTTTGATGAAATGATATTTGTAGACCTTTTCTAACGTGAAAGATCCAGGTATTAAAGTATTCCCGCAGTTTATTTTTTTTTCCAAACGTTTGTTCAAAAGAGGTACTTGATATTGCTCGACTTCCGATATAAATCATAGACTGTATAATGGTGCTTTTTCTAATTGTTTGAGAAACAAATCTTGCAAATTTTTGCAATTTGTGAAATCTTGGAATAAACTAAAATTTCCCACTGATTTTAGTACCTGGACAACTTTTGTAAGCTTTCCTAATGTCACATCGTTCGTAGTTTTTTTAAATTAAAAAATGGGAATTGCCTTAGCAGTACGGCTAGTGCAAAAACTGATGCTGGTTTGACATATTTTTACTATATATTTTATGCTCTTTTTTATAATCTAGCTTCCTTCTTCCTGTATTTCCTGATCGTATTCAGGATCACTCTGTCTAGCGTGCGATGTGTATGCATGTATATCAGATGTGTCTGCCTGCTTTGATGAATGCATGCAGTTTCTGGATGGCAAAAAAAATCCTAAAAGATTTAATATTTTTAACTTGTAGTTGTGACTCATTTCATGTTACTTGCATGCTTTCTGCTTTCCTAGTCAGCAAATGGAGGAGGTCACCATCATGATTTTAATACTGGTGCTAATTTTCCTGATAGTTCTGAAAATCGTGCAATATTGCGGTCCCATTCTGTGCTTCGTCAGAACACAAGGAAATTTTCATTTCTTTTTCTTAATTAAAATAAAGAGGAATGTTTCCTTTGTACTCTTTACATACAGCCACTGACTGAGATTTGAGATTTCAGAAAATGAAAATGCAGACATCTTCAGAAATCAGTGCTCTTAAAGGTTCACAACTTCTCTCTACACTGTGGTTCTTTTTTAGATTCAGATGTTGAAGAATCTCCTTCAAAATGCTTTTTTGATAGTAATTGAATGTATTGGACGTCTCTCAACAATATTTCAGTCTCACCTGTTTAGGTCTTGACTTCACTACAAATTGTTTTTTATAGTGTTATCTGTGTCTTTATAATGTGCATGTTCCTTATTGCATGTGCCTTTTCCAATGACTATTGAATGCTTGCATGTAATTTATTCTTGTTGGCATCACCTTTTTGATGCGTAACTTATTTGTCCTTTCTACATTAAAAAAACATAATTGTGAAGGCACTGCTGTCAGCTTGCTTGTATAATCAACAATGGGATATTTTTGTTTTGTAACAAAACCCCTAACTTTTAGCATGGATTTCTGCTCGTACATATTATGGATGATTACTTCCAGATGGGTCACTCTTCTAATTGAGAACATGCAAAAACAACACTCCAAAAATACTGGTGGAGATATTTATATCCTTGTTCTTTGGATGTGGTATTTAGGGAGTGATTTATATTGTCTTGTTTTCAAAGAGTAGAAGCGAAATTTTGGTTCCTTCTTTGAAAGAACCTCGCACAAAGTTTGTATCAGGGCTGGTAGCAACTTCTATTGCATGCAGTTTTCAGAAGATGCTTTTTTAGAGAGTGTAGATATAAGGGGGTCTTCAGTGACATACCGAAGTTGTTTATTTTGAACTAAATGTAGCAAAATATTGCTTGTCCTAACACCAGTTGTTTTTTTCTCTTCTTTCTTCGCATGTTGTTTTGTTTTCATAGAAATATTGGAAAATATAATACAATTATTTGAAAGATTCTTAGGTTATATAGAAAGTAGAAATTCTAGAAATAAAAAAAGTTGAAGAAAAGTAAAGAGAAACCTTAATGCTTTATTTTTCTTTAGTTTTATCACTTAATTAAGCAATAGTATTATTTAACAGGATTGTTTTGTTGTAAGCAGATATTGCTTTTTCCAGGACTGTCTTACTTTTTACCCCAGTTATAATGTTATGATATATCAAGAAGTTCTCAATCGTAATCACATTGATGGAATTCAGGTTTCAAATTTCAAGCCAGGTTTGTTTGCTGTAGGAACAAACACCATTTCTCTGTTAAGATATTATTCACAGTATGCATTTGATAATAATAATAATAATAATAATAACGATAATTATAATTATAATAGTAATATTATTATTTATAATAATAATAATAAAAATAATAATAATAGATAGCATTTATATAGTGCTCTATTCCATATTAGTATAAACTCGGAGCGGATTAATAATATGCTCCATTTCATCACACACACAGCCATCTAGAAATTTTCTGCTTTTCAAAACAAATACTACAAAAAAAAAAACAAAAAAAAAGAAAACCACACAGAAAAATGAGAGCTGAAACTGAAATAAAGCTGCCTCATTGGGCACGATCACTACTCCCTATTCATATATACGTTCCAGTCTGATATTATTATTTGTGTAACGACATGGTGGAATCAGGTGCTGATCAATTTTTGGGCACATAGAGTTATTAATATCAACTTAAAGCTTGTTCATATGTCTTGCGTTTGGCGAAAAAAAAAATCTATTTATCTTGAATAGAAGTTGAGATATATGCGATTGAAGGTGGTAGGGTGACTTGGTATGAGAGGTAAAATTAATGGGAAAATGGCTGTCAAAGTTTGGTGACTTCCAAAGCTTGAGTGTGCCTGGAAACTGAAAATTTACATTTTTTGTGTCTTAGATGAACGTTTTTCGGTAACATCCGCACAGAAATGGGTTTTTGAACGGACATAAATTTAAAAGGTGTTGAGCTGAAAAAAGAAAATGCGAAAAAAATTGCCCAATGACAAGAAAAATGCAGTTTCCTTTGATTTCATTGTTTTGATGAGCGCCTGATTTCACCATGCTGCCTCACATTTGGTTGCATTTTTATTTATTTATCTTTTTCCATAGACTGGATGTTGCAGCTCGGCATCTCACTCAAGCAGTTGACTACCTGAAGCTGTGTCAGCCAGCCTCCAGTAACTACCTGCTCCTGGGTATGGCCACACTGGGCACTTTCTACAAGATTGTCATGAAGCCTGAGCTGGCCGTTCCAAGGTTTAAATATGTTGTTGATCATGCAGGTTTGTTCTTTTCCTCACACAGTTCAACTTTTATGTACAGTCGAACCTTTGTAAGACAAAATCACAAAGTAGCCAGAAAAAAATTCCATCTTAGACATTTTCCGTCTTCGACGAGGGAATTTAGGGGGAAAATGAAGGGGGGTTTCAAAGGCCCAGCCAGTTGGATCAAGGGGTGCTTGTCTGGCCGGCAAGCAGTGGTCAAAACTTCACACCTCAACTGCTATCCTCTCTGATAATGACATGAGTAATTTCATAGAACCACAGTAACTGTTTGAACATCTCCTTTGCTTCCACCCTTAGCCCCACCCATTGGTGTAACAAGCACAGTCAATCAATGCCACCCCTCTTTTCTATGTACAACGATTCGAAGAACTCTTTTCTCAGCTGGCCGTACAATCAGGGTGTCTGGCATTGGTCAAACTAATTTCACATCTCTGGCTTCTGGCTACCCAGGAAAGTTTCCGTGGTGGCTTGCTACTCAAGCACTTTCACTGGCATTCGTGAGATTTCATACCCACACTAACCAAACCATCTGCATCGCTCCGGGCTTACATAGATGGGGTAACATCTACCCCTAAATTGCACCCCTACTCCCCTTCCTCGCCCGGCAACATGGCATTAAGTTTAGAGTCGGCGGAACCAAACTTGCGAGTTTTGTTTCAAATCAAGGCTGAGCGGACAAAGCGTTTTCCATCTTTGACAGGTGAAATCCTCGGAAGGGAGTGGGTTTTTCTTTCTGTTTTCACTTTGGACAGGTTTCCGTTTTACAAGGTAATTAAAGAGGAATATATCAAGGGGGGAGCGGGGAGATTCCGTTAAGACGTGTCCCTTGTACACAGGTTTCCGTTAAGGTGGGTTCGACTGTATTTGTAAAAGTTGAAAAATATCCTCTAAGTCACAAAAAGGTTATTTTACTCCACGATAGTCTGTTTTGATGTATACGCTCAAGTTTTCAAAGTCTTTGACAGGCATTTGACATTTTTGAGTGAACTGATGGATAGAGACGATTCAACTGCCGGAATGTCTCGCTACATTCCTCACCTTCTGGTTTTGTTCACTGACATCTTGCTTTCCCTTTTGCTTTGACTATTAGTTGATTCTTTTTTAAAAATGTTTAAAACTCAATTGTACTCAAGGGCATGAGCTTGACAGTTACTGGATTAACAAGAACAGTTATCAGTTGACTCAAAGAACCCACCAGGGCAGTGCTACTTACTGAAGTGTCTTTTGGCTGTTCCCAAAGGGGGGATATTAACATATTCTTATGCACAGTAGAATTGTAAATGGGCTGATTTATCAATGTCATGCTCATACTGTGCTGGAACTACATAGGGGGAACTGCCGCTTTTTCTTTCTTCATCGTTACTATCGCCATTTTCCCTCTACTTCTTTTGCATGTTTGTCGCTCTCTTGTGAACTGCTATTTCCGTGGTGTCTTGATAGTTGAAGCAGACTTTGTGCTGTTGAGGCTAGAGAGTTGAACAGTTGACATCCACCCCTCGGTGCTCATATGACCTAATGCAGTTTGCGAGCCCTGTAAAACCTTACTAAAACTAAGACTAAAAGAACCTTGGAGTAAGCTGTAGTCTTCAGCTGAGGGTGCACCTCTCCTGGTTGTGTCATGACATCTTATCTTATCTGATCTTATCTCATCTCATCTCATCTCATCTCATCTCATCTCATCTCATCTTTCTTATCTTATCTTATCTTATCTTATCTTATCTTATCCTATCTTATCTTATCTTATCTTATCTTATCCTATCCTATCCTATCCTATCTTATCTTATCTTATCTTATCGTATCTATCTTATTTTATGTTATCTTATATGTACATCTTGCCAAGTGCTGGGTTTTTTAAATGGCTTATTTTCATCTCATTAAGTATTTAATTCAAACACTTAATGATACATAGACAAGTGTTTTGCCTGTGGTTGACATGATGGGCATAGATTTACCAGGAAAGACAAGTAAAGATCTTATTTTTCTTATAGAGAATTTTTGTTTGTTTAAAGACACGTCATTTGAAGGGAAAAGAGGATTTAGATAACAGGGAGTGCCATTTGATCAGTTTGTTTGATGTGGGACTAAAGAATGAGCAACCCTAGTTCGAGTCCTCATTCTTGAGCTTACCTGAGTCCTTTTCGAAAGATGACTGTTAAATAAGAGATGCTGCTTCTTAACTGTGTTGAAAGGGGAGTTAAACTAGTTTCTATAATACTGTTCTTCATTGCAATGATAATATGTTTTTATTCGTTAGTTTTGTAAAAATTTCCCCGACAAATTTAATTGAAGTCTGTAAACCTGTCACACTATGTTTTTTACTCACGCTCTTCTCTTCATTACTGCAACAACAATGAACATTTATGAAAAATTTTCCTTTTTTTGTCAATCTTCGTAGAGTCCACTGGCTGGTACCTCAAGTGGATGCACATGTGTTTCGAATCTTTGGCTTCGCTCTACTCGTCAATGGGTCAGGATAAAGAGGCTGATGTCGTTCAAGTGAAACTGTCTCACTGGCTGAAGGCGAATCCCGTGACGAATAACCCCGTGGACTACAGCAGGTTGGAGAAAGATCCAGAGCCTTTTGCCAACTTTGTGAAAAAGGCAGATCTGTGGGGTGCCGCGTTACAGCGGATGATGGCGGTACCTTCAGGGAAAACTCTCGTCAAAGTGGGTGAGGACAATGATAATGATGACAATGATGAAGATGTTGTTGATAAAGATGATGAACAGAATGCGGCTGGTTATGAAGGTGGCTCACCAGTTGATGATAAGGGGGATAAAGTACCTGAGTAATGTGGTGAAGTCGTCATAGTTACTCTTACGTTGCTTCCAAAGTAATCATCTCTCGAGGAGGGAGCACTGTTTCAGCATCTTGTTGTGTTATGTAAGCTTAGTTCCTGTAAAGATGAGGTGTATTTTTCAGAGGGAAGAATACTTTGCTCATCTATCTGTGTGTTGGAAACACCACTTGTTTTGTGTTACCTGTGTGTGTTGCGTACAGTTTTTGTTTTATTATCATTCTTTACAAGTTTTTTCCATTTTCTTTTGGTGAAGCTATGTTTCACTGCATTCTTTACCCAAGTAGATGCAGTTGCTAGGATTGTAACTTTCATTTTTGCGCTGATGTTACTATAGATCTGATCTAGTTTGCATTTAATGACAATTGCATTCTAAATTATTTTTCATTTGTGTCTGTAATGACGTATTGTAGAATGTAGAAACAGATAGAAACCTTTAGTCTCATTGATTCCTTTCGTTTTTGGCATTTTTACATTCTGAAGTCTTCATAATTACTTTGATATCAAATAATCAAATTCAGCATAAGTGTTAGGGAAAGTGATGTATGTTGTAGCAATGCTTTCTTCATCACTGGTTGTTTCCTGGTCACGTTAACTACACATGTGCACCCACACCTAAGTTTCATGACTGTTTACTGGCTGGCACTGTGTTCAGATTAAGAGATGTTGGTTACCATGATTATAGTCAGAGCAAGGCATCATTCGATGGTTACTAAATTTTTTTAAGTTGAAGAAAGAAGAGTTTTGTATATCTACTAAGGGCATTTTTGTTCCTTTTATTGGTGACATGTGTATTCATCACTAGATTTTCAACCAGTGATTGAAAAGAGTCAACAACAAGATTTTTCTTCCTTAATCTTTCCATTTTTTGTTTTTAACTTCTGTTCCAGTTTTAAAATCTTTAATAACAATCCTTTGTTTCAGCTTATTACAATTATAAGGTTTTAAACTGACAATCTGGCCTGTTGCCTTTCAGGGGGTCGTAACAAAAAGCAATATGTGGGTCTAGTGGTCAACTATGTGTGGTAACCATGGTAAATATTCGTTGTTTTGCATTAGATGCTGCGTGTCAATACTCATACACCGACTTACCAAACACCTTTGCTTGTCGCAGAAGACCAGACGTGAATGCATGTGTTCCATGTTCCCATATCACCTTTGTTCTGGAACTGTAATGTTCCTCCTCGTCTCAGATACATATCATATTAGCCTTTAATGACACAGTAATTATATTTTTATTTAAAAGCTAACGGTAGTCATCATATAATATAATACAGTGCACTGCATAGATTTAATCCATAACTGTCAGTTTTTTCATTACCCATGTTATGGCTAGTTTAATGTAAGTGTACTGTCATTTTTAATACAACTATAACATCTTGGCTATGCCTATTCTGTGGCTGATACAGTTACTGGTTCCTCAGCTTTTTCGCTTCCATAAGACTTTTATTGCCAGATTTATTTTGCAAGAAGCTTTATGAAGTAGTTCTTTGCACATTAAAACATTTTCAGTCATCTTGGATGTTTTTTAGTGTGTGGTAAATTTGACAAATTCCTAATCTATTCTTGACTGTCACCTGAGTCTCTTGGGAACTCTGAGCCTGCATGTCTTGTCAACATAACTGTATCTTGGGCAGAAAGGAACAAATAGAAAAGAAAGAAAAATCTTTATTTCTTTTCTGTTTCGAAATTTGTCTGCAGTCATAAGCAAAACAATCCATATATAGTCGCTTTTAAGCACAACAGGGCTATCCTGAGAATATCGAAGGTAAAGTTTTTGCCCCTTGTTCATGTTCAGTTTTTTAAAAAGACAAGGTGAGTTTTCCTTATAACCAAACTAATATAGACACCAATGAAACCCAAATTCTCCTATAGGTAGGGCAATGCCCACTTTTGGTGTAGGTCAAGATTCCTGGAAACCCCCGAAATCTGGGTCAGCCCGCTTGTTCTTAAAAGCGGCCATATAAAAACAGCAGAAGAAAATTCAAACGGTGGACCACCATTCTTGATACGAGTAACTAGCCTACAAACTGGTTATTGTGTGCTTGTCAAAGACAAACAGGCCCGTGATGAACTGTCTCATGTCTCATTGTTCAGCGTTGCTTCACATCTTTGTGTGACCAAGTTCACTAACCATTTCACCTCTGCAATCCTCTGGAGTTTTTACTAAAGCAAGCGCAGAGGGCACCACGCTTAAACTTCATCTTTGATATTTCTGTAGGAAATTTATGAAATGGCTTACCCGCTCAGCGCATTCAGTATGAGTCTGAGCTAGATCTGCAGGGGCTTTATGTTGCACTACTTCTTATTTCTGGTAATACCATGGATCCCTGATCTGGCCTGATCTCCCACCTGCTTGGTCACTCTCTTTTTTCTAAAGATTAGTTGAGGTGACAGTTTTGCTTCCATTGTTTTCAGGGCAATAGTTGCTCCCAGCATTATCCGTCTTTTGCTATTTCTCCTGTTCAGCTGCAATTGTTCGGGGTCAAGATACAGTGAACAAAGCACTAAAATGGCTTAGTTAAGTTAACGGCCTTTGCTCTGGAGGCATTAGAACGGAAGCTCATGACAATGAAAGGATAGAGATCAGTTTTTCGAAATGGTGTTCTAGTCTTATTGTATTCAGAGAAGCGAGTGGCTGGTATCAAACTGAATAGGGAACAAGCTGTGCAAGGTTACATGTTGACCAATGTTGTAGGGAAAGGATAAATGTCTCTGTCTCAGTGGTACCATCTGTCTTTTGCTGTTGTCTCCACAGTAATCATTGTGATTATACCATAGCCACATGATGTCAAATAACAGAGGTAGAATTTACTTATCGTTTATGTAATACCACCATTGTCTTAAAAGGTATGAATATAATTCAAGTTTTTGAGATGTAACTCTGTCATTATTGTGGGCAAAGCAGACCACTTTCAACTTTCCTGATCACAAAAATGAGTTGTCTTGAGCTGTTTCTCCTGAGAGACACCTAATGGACAATAATGGTTGTGTGTAGTTTGAATCAGAAAAATGAATAAGCTTGCTTTGTGCAAATTGGTCTTTCCAGATTGAACTGTACTTGATTCAGAAAAAATCATCTCCTTAGAGTACTGTTTCTCATGAATGACACCAAACGTACAGTAATGGGAGGGTGTAATTTCACCCAGAAAAACAAATGGGCTTGCTTTCTACTATTGGGTCATACCAGAATGAACTGTATAAAGAAATTAAGGAAAAAATCTCCTCTGATTCATTGTCATGATGAATTAAGCCCTGAGAAGTGGGACAAGTATGCATTCCCTTATCCTAAGTGAAATCGCCTGTGATTTTTCTTGTAGTAGTTACATGTCACTTTATAATGACAAGTATATCTTCCAACAGAAATTCATATTCTCTTGTTTTTTCTTCGTCCTTTCATCCAAGTTGAGAAGTGTGGAGATTTCAGTGATGACTGTATAACCTCTCCAGTTAACCCCACTTGTTCAAATTGTATTTGAGATTCCATTGTAAAAGACTTAATGAAAATAGCCGAAGAATTTGGAAGTTGGTGATCACTGAAGGCACTACCCCTCACATATCTTTGTTCATAATTTTTCTTCCTTTTTTTTCAGCTTGTTCTATTTCCGTTTTAATACATAACTTGTTTTGTTTTGTTTTGATAAAATAACTCATCTCTAACAATGTTCATTCTTGTAGCAATATACCAAAACCTTTGTTATTTATTGAAAATGTCTTTATGGATTTTGCTGTACTGTTTGCTTTATATGACAAGAATAGCCCTGTATTACTCAAATTTCTTCATATTATTGGAATTTTATTGTTACTGCTTTAAAAAAATTACTGAAATATTTTTTCATTCATCAGAGAACTTATACAGAGATTATATCTAACTACTTAATAATGCAAGTAGAAATCAAAGTGGTACAAACTTTTTTATTCACATTAGTTGTTAGCATCTAGCCATAGTTGTTGTTTTTTTATTTGAAATTTTAACTTCAGTAGCTAGTTTATTGTGTCCCACCCCTTCTCTTTTCATACGCTGTTGTTGTTTGATTTGTGTGGGATGTTGTTTCATTTATTGTGTCAATCCTAAGTGTTGCTGTTTTCAGCTTCTGGCTGGGCCTAGCAGGATGGCCGGCTGTGTGTGTGTGAAGTTACGATCGAATGAGGTGGGTGATATGGCATGATGGAGTCATCAAAAATGAAATGAAATTAATGCATTATATGCTATAAAGTAAATTTCATTTTGTGATTTAAAGTACTTACTTAATTTCAGGAGCAAGTAGGTTATTGATGGGGTTTAGCGTTTCCGTTTCTGTTTAGTGTGTCCAGTTCTTTTCTCGTCATAGAGTGTTGAGAACATGGCCATGTGATCCTTTCTGAAGGGGGCTATTGATTAAACCCTAAATACATATACAGTGCAGCCTCTCTGGAATGACATTGTTGGGACCAGAATGAAAAGGTGTCGTTGTAGAGAGTTGTCATTATAGAGAGGCAACCAAAAATTACTAGTGATATATAAGGAAAGAATCGGGACCTGGGCACCATTTCACTATACAGAGGATGTCGTTATATCGATATCCCATTGTTTATTCTTGATTAGTCTTATAATTAAGATATATTATCATATAATATATATGTAAACCAAAACCAAAGAAAACATGAAAATTGTCTGTTATCTTCAAATCATTATATTGTTAAAGTGCAGCCCATTAGAAGATAAAAGAATACAGTCATGGTTGGCCTGGTGGTTGAAATGTGCGATGCTTTTTGGTTGTCTATGCTAGCAGTTATATGGGTATGAATTCTTCTAAGATTTTTTTGGCCTGCTTTTTGGCCCAACCTTTAGAATACCAGGCAAGTGTTCAAACTCTGGGTCCTAAATCTCCCAAATGAGCAGAATGTAATTTTATGAAAGTTTTAAAGTATAAGTTAACTTTTATATATTGTAGGCTTCTATGTGTTGTGCTTTTCCTTAAGTTGTGTCTTTGAGATTCACAGAAGATACCAACCAGATCTGTTTTGTCTGTAAACTGAAAACTTTACCACATTACTCACAGCTTTCTTAGCACAACTTTTTCTGTGTGAAATAATAATAATTATCCTGATATAACCTATATGATGCTTACTGTGAATCGATCTATATTCATGAACGTACAAAATTTTGGAAATTTAGAAGAGGGCGCGGTGGCGGAGTGGTAGTGCACACGTCTCCGAAGTTCGGTTCGGACACAGATTTTTTTCGCCCCCTCCTGCCCACCCAGCAGTAATGGGTCCCTGACTTCAAGTTAGGAAAGTAAAGACTGCGTGGAAAGGAACTGGCCACCTTACCACAATATGCCGAAGGCCGAGGAAGTTGTCTCACTAACAAGGCAATCCCTAATGTCCGGATCGGATACGGGAACAACTTTACTTTACAACTTTATAAAATTTAGGAACAGATTTTAAGATTTTATTATTAACAGCATACCCACCATTGTATATCAGGCATCCCTCCCCACCCCCCAGAAAACAATGCTTTGTTAAATACACTTATATATATATAGCTCTACATGTTAGTACAAGGGCTAAAATGCATTCGCTGGAGTATTTTACTGCCATAGTGTCTTTAGTTGCCCGAAGAAGTGCTGTCATTTTTTTTTCTTAAGATCTTTTTTGTTATAGATCTGCCAGCTTGGATATCACATAATGGCTGTTGTGTTATGGATTTCTTCCACTGTTTTGTAAAATGTCAACTTCCTGGTTGTGGCATAGGGAATATATTTTCTTTAAAAAATATGATGTCTGTGGGTGACCTTGTTTTACATCTGCTTTGGCATGTTCAGGAGCTTAGGTTATTTATTAAAGAATTTTCCTGTTTCTCAAAAAACCACTTACGCTATTGGCAATGGATCCTTAGTGGCCCAGCTTCTTAAATAGTTTGCTGTTTTGAGTTGTTTTAAACCTACACCTTACTTGAACTTGAATCAATGTTAATACAGCATTCATATGTTTATAACATTTTTAAAAAGTGTATATACCAGTTTTTTTTCTTTATTAAAACAATTTTAATTATGGATTGTGTCAGTGGAATCAGGCGCTCATTGATTTTGAACATGTAGAGTTATTGGTACAGTGGGTGTCGCATTCAACAAGAAGTCGGCTCCTACGAGGCAATCCTTAAGCCCCGATTTTTATCCTCTATATCTCTTTGTAAATGTGCAAACAGACCGAAGTCACGATAACCAAATAAAGGCACATAGCGGCCCCAAAAATGAAGAATTTTTCTCCTTTCTTGCCATCTCAGGCGAAGCACAAGACCCATCCTCCATTCCTAACACAATGTATTGCTAAATCTAGCGTGCCTCCTAATGTGGGCCCCAAAGCCAAGAGGCCCTCATCAGAAAATTCAAGCTCCTGCCTTTGCTTTATGTAGATATAGGCCTAGATGTGAGAGGGTATGTTTTCACAAGAGAAGTCTTGAGAATTGTTTTTTGAAATACAAAAATGACGGTCAGAACACAGCTCAAACACCCACACACTGATGTTGTTTGAGATTTTCGTCATCAGGGGGAAACAGCTTTCAATTACTGGTATTGGTGCATCGTGCATAAACTTGTCTCCTTTCTGTTTTTTAGCCTTACTCATGTTCAAGGAGAGGTCGGATCCAACGAGGACAACAAGCTTGTCCCGGCAACCTCGTTGAATGCGACTCTCACTGTATCATCTTAAGGCTTGTTTACAAGCGCCTGGTTTCATCACGCTGCCTCATAATTGTATCTTGTCGAATTCCAATTTTGATCTGAAAGAGCAATGTTCTGTGATATTCATAATACAACTATTACAACTTACAACCTAATGAGCTCAAACTCTTCACTACACCTGATGTTGAACAGACTGCCAGTTGAACTCTTCGGTTGATCATTTATTATACTATTCTCCAATATAATGCTAATGTTCCAATGTACAGCAGTTTTGGTAAAATTCATTAGAATTCCCATGAATAAGGTCCATTTAATGTATGTGCGCAAAAGATGACCTTCTGCGATTTGTGAATATTTCTAAAACTTTGCTGATGTGCTGAAATTGTTATACACATAATATTGATATATAATATAATGATATATATTATATAATATACCTGTATATAATAAATCTTTAATGACAATCCAGTATAAGAACTGTTAGTTTTTCCCTCTTTGAAAAATATGAGTTTAGTTTAATGTATCGATGGAGCATTCTACTTACAGTGTAACTTATGATCATCTACTGTACAAATTTGTTGTAAATGGTATTACATTTTTTAAGTGTGTGGGAATTTTCATAGAATTTTTCAAACCCTCCAAAGGTTTAACTTACAAGTAATAGTATGGTGTATTTTCAACCCTTTTTCAGTTACGCGTTTTTGTATAGATTTTTGAGCAGATTTTCATGAATAATTTTCTGTCATATTTACTTTCACAATTTTGTGTTTTAATGTGCATTTCCTTTGCTGTTGGACACAAGATGTTCTTATTACTCTTGCTCTGCCATCCTTTACAGATTTTTGTTTTTTCTCAAAGTATGTTTGTTTTTATAACTCTAGCCAAAAGAAACCCAACTACATAATTATGATGTGCTTCCTCGTTCTTTTGACTGCTTCAGTGCCAGCTCGTATTCAGTGAAGGAGACTTTTGCATTTGCATTGCTGTGACTCCACATTGTGACATAAACAGCACAATCTGACTGAATGTCTTTTGAGTTTGTTGTACTGTAACTGTGTAAACGAGCACTTTTTTTGGACAAAGATGTCTCCTTTCTTTTGTGCCTGCTGCTTGTGTAAGGATATACTGTCAGGATATCTATATAGGCCTACAGTATAGCATGGATAGCTCCAATTTATCGGGACTGGCATCTGTGTCCCCCCCCCCCCCCCAGGGCAGTGCTACTGACTGAAATTGTTTGTAGGCCATTCCCAGTTGGGCTGTCCCCGTCATTTTATTCCAGAAAAATTCTGAAATTATGCAAACTGAGCCCAAAAATGTGAAATTATGCAATTCTGTTAATTTTTACAAAGAATGATAAAGGAAAATAATCAGAAATTATGAAAAAAAATGATCCAATTTTGCTAAGTTATGCGGGGTGCATAAAACCATGGGGATAGATTGGGGGATATCAACATGTTCTTAAGCAGTAGAATTAGAATTGTAAATGGGCTGATTGATCAATGTCAAGCTCATACTATTCCGGTACAACATAAGTGGAACTGCTGCTTTTTCTTTCCTCATTCTTACTTTCGTCATTTATCCTCTACCTCTTTTGTATATTTGTCACTCTCTTGTGAACTGCTATTTCCGGGGTGCCTTGATAGTCGAAGCAGACTTTGTGCTGTTGAGGCTAGAGAGGTGAGCAGAGTAAGCCTAATTCCCAGTTTGGACTTCTCTGTTGACATCCTCCCCTTAGCGCTCATATGACCTTATGCAGTTGCAAACGTCGTAAAACCTTACTAAAATTAAAACTGGCCTCTGTGGTTCGAGGGATATTTTACAAAGATAAACAAGAAAAAAAACCCCGGGACTGCAGGCAGTTCGACGGATGCGTTCTGTGTTTGACCTATCCGTGTTATTATGCTGTATCTGTATTGCCCAAAGAAAATCTGTTCAAATGAAGGAGGAACTTTCTGATGTTCAAAGGAAAAAATTGTTACAGCTTTTGTTTTGTTTAAGTAAGCATTTTACGGCACTTGCAACACAATAAGATCATACGAGTGCCTAAGAAGATAAGAAGAGGTGTTACAAGAGAGTTGTTAGTGACAAACACCAAAAAGGAGGAGAGATCGAGATGATCGATATTTGATAGGAAAGAAGGAGCAAACCACACCAGAGCATGCGCCAACCACCCGCTTTCGCTGGAGGTTATGGCTTTGCATCGTTGTCCCTCTGTACTAATTCTTTACTCAAGGTCCCTCGTACACATTTGTGGTTACTGAACACTCTATTTGGACAGAGGCATTTCCTTTCTCTAGTAGTCTCCAGCTGAACTAGAATGTTGCAATATCCATTTATTGCTATCTACACCACTCAGGCTGAAAAGCCCAAATAAAAAACTCCAAAGTTTATTAGTACTGAAAGTACCTTCTCGCCAGAGATACACTTCTCTTCCATTGTATATTTTTACGAATAAAAATTATTCATATTTTTACTAGATTTGTTTTTCAGCTTACTAAAACATTTTTTAGAGTTGATAATTCTTACTGTTTCTATCGATTCCGTTTCTGCATCAAATTTGTAATACTGCACTGTTTGGTACAGCATCTTTAACTACAGTACAGGGAAGTGCAAGAATCCATTAAAATACTGTTGAAGAGATCGAAAATATATACATGATGACTTCTTTTGTTCTATACATGTTTCTGTTTGACTGATTTGGACAAATCTTGTACTTGTACAGTTGAAATTGTCCAGGACAGCCAGCCGTTGTTGAGGAGAACAGTGGTCATCTTTGACAGGTGGCCACATCTTGAACAATGTCATTTTGATATTAAAAAACAAAAGGGGAAAGGGGATGGAGGTGGGGGTAAGTGGGATGCGGTTGTTTGTACCGGTGGTTGTCTTGGACAGGTGACAATTTGAGCAGGTTTAAATGGATTGCTAATTTCTTTTACACTCCCAAGTTATTGTTGTTGGCGATACCGTTGTGGAAGTTGCCCTTCCAGACACAATGTAGACCATTTTGACAGTCGAGCACTTGATTCTCTCATCTGTGCATGTCGCTAATTGGAGCTGTTCCTGAAGTTGTCTTTAGGCCATGCCCAAAGGGGAGATATTAACATGTTCTCAGGCACAGTAGAATTGTAAATGGGCTGATTATCAATGCTCATACTGTGCCAGAACATCATAGGGGTAACTGCTGTTTTTTCTTTCCTCATACTTACTATTGTCAATTTTTCCACTACTTCTTTTGTATGTTTGTCACTCTCTTGTGAACTGCTATTGCCGCGGTGCATTAATAGTCGAAGCAGACTTTGTGCTGTTGAGGTTAGAGAGGTGAGTAGAGTAAGTCTGATTCCCCATTTGGACTTCTCTTTTGACATCCACACCTTGGCGCTCATATGGCCTTATGCTGTTGAGAGCGCTGTAAAACATTAAAACTTAAACTAAAAGGAGCTGTTTCACAAACAAAAAGACAGATGAAGCACATCATGTTGGGATCCGAACCTTCCATGCCACAAATCAAGTTTGCAACCCAGTGTGTCATGCTCACAGCTGTTATATCTTCGTGACAGTGAATGGAACTTCAACAGAAGAAACAAATATTTACAAAAACATATATAGTAGAGGGTTTTACGGCGCTCGCAACTGCATAAGATCATATGAGCGCCAAGGGATGGGTGTCAACAGAGAAGTCTTTACAGGGAATCAGACTTAGACTGCTCACTTCTCTAGCTTTAACAGCACAAGGTCTTACAGAAACAAGAAAACAAACATTAAAATAAGAACAATAAACAAAGGATGATTTTTTAAAATAACTTTTACTGTAGCAGATAAATGCACTTGCACATCATGAGAAAAATGTAAATATTTTTCTAATTTCAAGATTTTTCTTTCTTAAGAAAAAAAAAGAAGAGGAAAAAAATGAAGAGAGAGATAAAAAGAAGGCCATGTCAATAAAGAGGCACATCAGTATAGAGATTCTTCAGAACAGGAAATAAACTTTTCGGAACAGCCAAATACATTTCGCATCGTACAACCTTGACTGTAAGTAAAAAGTCCTAAAATCACAGGGTATCTATCTACAACCATTTATGTTGCAGTATGTGTATTTAGAGTTTCATTAACTTTGACGACTCGAAAATGAAACCTTTATTTTCATTAAAACAATCTCCGCAAAAGTAGTACTGCTTATTTTGCATAAAAATGAACGTCATAAAATCTAAAGAGAAGTCCCAAAGTAAAAATTGGATTCGCGATATCGAAATTTTTCAGTGGAAAGCAAGATGGTGACGAGATGTGGGATATTAGCAACTCCCCAAAACATCAGGAAATAAGTAAAGAGCAGATTCACTGCTATGAGAAATTTCTTCTGAACAATGAAAACTAAGTAAGATTGAGAAGCTGATAAAACAGTACGGACTTCCTCAGATTTCTAGAGATCTAATAACATGTTAAAACAAAAACAAAAAGTATGACAACCTACTTTGATACAAGTGTATATTTTGAAACAATACGAGTGTATAAATATTACAAATAGTCTAAAGCCAGTAATAAATCAACACAACAAGGTACAAACTCTCAGATCTATTTCTTCCTCTCTTAAAACCAAAATATAAACCAGCAATAGCTGTATTAAAAAAACCCAATAACTACAGAGACAAGGCATTGTTGCATAATATCCATTTCCTTGTTTTTAGTTTTCACAAGAATTTATGCCGAATAAAAAATGTAATCACAAAGAGATTCCATCAACAGTAAAATGAACAAGTGAAAAAAGTAGAAGGGAAAGTAGAGAGCAAGTGACAGAGACAAAAGTTTCAACAGACAACATTATCTTAGCACCAGTAGAATATCGGTGCACGTGAGGGGGTGCACCAATGAAGGAAACATGAAAATATGCGAGTCTGTAAAGGAATAATGATATAGTGGTTAGATGAGAATGAGTTTGTGAAATAACTGACGAACTACAAAGGGACCCTGTGTCCTAGTCTCACTTCGTACAACTGATAAGGGTACAGATTTCTCGAACTACTAACACCCAAAAGTGTACGCATTTTTCTGCAGTGAGGGAGGGTATTGACATTTATGCAGGTCATTGTAAAAAAATCTCAGCACAAGGACTCGATGATTTGTCTTTTTAAAAATAAAAGGAAACAAGTCACAAGACCTGCATTTGCCTCACGGCTGCCCGTACAAAAATACAACCAGAAACCTCTGGTGTAGTTTAAATTGTCACATCAAAATGGCTGTTGCCACTTTTGAAGAGTACTGTAAGTCTTTAACGGTCCCTGACAGATGTTTTATTAAAATTCTCTCGCAGATAGTATCTTCCTCATTGAATTTATCAATAGAAATTCATCTTCAATAGAAATTCATCTTCTGATACACGAAAAATAGAGAGCTGCTACAATACAAAAGATCATGGGAAGGGGTACAGATGTATGAAAACCCACACACAAACCGTTTTCTCAGAAATTTACAAACTCGAGAATAAATAGATGCTATAAAAAGACATGATGAAGATGGAAAAAGAGAAACAACCTGTGACTGTGAGGTGCAGCCACCAGACCCACAAAGCCTTGCACACAACAACATACTGACCACTTCAAAACCACAGCATGACATACTACACACAAAATTTACTGTATATACACAAGTCGTTGAAGTATTTGAAATATCATCATACCAGTCCCCTCCATAAAACTTTTAAAATAGGGCTACAATTTTAGCCTTTTCATTTATTCTTTCAACAAATATTGAAAGTGAAATCTGAAAAGAAATGTAAAAAACCCCTCAAAATTCTGAAACTTTGATTCCCATTTTTTTGTTCTCGGTGAGGGAAAAAGAAATGAAACAATAAAGCCAAACATTTTCCATAAAAATTTAAATTTCATCTGAAAATATCAATAATCTCTTCTGTCCTCTACTATAAAAACAAAAAATCTTGCAGACAGAATGAAATGCCCTTGTGAGAAAAGTTAAAAATTTGTTACATAAACTACGCAAAGGGACCTTTCACTGCATTGACTCATTCATCATTATCATTGTCAGAAAAGCTGTATTACAGACCTAACAGTGAACCCACGCACGCCATCAATGATTAAAAAAAAAAAAAAATATATATAAAAAAAAAGGAAAAGTAATTACAGTAATAAATCAGCTATATGTACAGTTTATTGACCCATGTAACCGAGCAGCTAGAAGGAATATTATTTGATTGTGATACCATACAGAGTCTTACATCACCAAATATTCAGCAGAGACAAATAAGCAAGCTTTCCAATATATTTGAGAAACTCACATGCAAAATATATGCAAATGGAAATGGAATATTCATGTCCACGGTCAATGACACCCTACTCTGTTAGACTAAACGTTTGCCTACAATAGCAAGGGTGGAGAAATTTGCATAGAATAGAAAACAGGGCGTTATTATTATTTGAAAACATCCACCCTGTTAATTCAGGCATTTCAAACAAAATGAAGGAAATGCTCAAACATTTTAATTTATTGCAACAATGATCTTTATACCCCCCACCTCAATTAATGTTCATCACCCGATGCCACTGCAATATAATATATGTATCCTTAATGCTCAAGTGCATTGCCTGTCTTAAATACATCACTCTTATAGAACGAGTTTCGTTACTTTCTGTCAAACATCTGTCAAAATTGTGAAACCACAGCAATTACATTTTGCTTTTTAAAACTAATGCGCTGATGACTATCAGCCTCTTACTCTTGATGACTGTGAAACGAAAAGAAAAAGCACACAAACACATGACAGAGGTATACTTTGCTACAGCGCAAAAGAGTGTACATTGAATTTTTATGGATAGGAACAAAAATAAATCTAACTCCTCAACTTTGGTTGCAATGATGACAATGACTTCATTCAGAATAGTTAATCTCAATCTGGTAAAAAAAAAAATGCTCCATCTTTTTCGAGCTACAGGGTAATTAGTTCACACTACGTAAAATGAAAATGTCCTCAGACATAGGATCATGTTTTCTACAACTTAATTCAATATAGTTTTGTTACTTCCTCTTAAATTAGACAACATAAGTAATTACAACAAGACAAAAAGTAAAACAAAAACTTTCCTCAACTTTTTGTGCTTTCTAGGCTGGAAAATTGACAAGTATAATAAATCCCCAGATCAAAAAAGGGTGGTTATTCAAACACTGGAAGCAAAAAAAAATAAATCTTCAGTCAATTTTGAATTCAGTGAAAAATTAACTCATCAGATCCTCTTCTAGGGACCTGGAAGGACTAGCGAAGTCCGAGTGACTTAAGAGACGGCGATGATGATAATCATGATCAGCGTGATCAGGACGGTGAAGCCCACGTGCAGGAAGAGCATGAAGCGCTTGAACCGGCGACCCTGTGCACAGAAACACAACCGCAAAGATTAGAATTGTTATATTTGTTTGCTAGAATAAAAAGAAGCACATTCGACATAATGATGGCATAATTTCTGTATGAAAAAAAAAAACAGACAGAAATGACAGAGCGAAAGACAGAAAGAACAGAGAGAAAGATAAGAAGAAGAACCTTGTTTGTTTGTTTTTTGTCTCTCTAGTGCAAAAAGTACCCAAACAGACTTAAGTGGATTGCTTGCGACACCAACGATACACTGTCGGGAAAAGGTTAGGGTGGTTCATTGACACTGAAAAAGAGGTGAAAGAAGCAACCAAATAAAAGCACCCATCAACCACCCACACTGGATGATAAGGAACAAGCAAAAGTGTTCAGAGAGTAACACCATACAAAAGAGAAGGAGAGATCAGAACAATAGATGTTTGATAAGACAGAAGGCGTATACCACGCACCAACCACCCACATTAAATAGTGTACTCACAGCTGGCTCGGGCTCAGGGTGGTGCTGCTTGGGGTACTCTCTCTTCAGCTGCTCCCACTTCTTTCTGCGCTCTGAGGAGTAGCAAAGTGGAAGGAATAATGACAATATCATAAGCATACATATCTGGTGTATCTCAGTCATGCATCCTCTTTCATTGCTCTATCTTCTCTTTCTTTTTTTTCTCTCTCTCCACAGTTCATCTACACCACACTATTTCACAGCTCTGCTACTCTTTTTATCTTTCTCACTCTCTCTCTCTCTCCAGTCCTACCCATTTCCACTGTTCAATTCTTTTTTTTTTTTTCTTTCTCTTGCTCTCCACACTTCTTATATTCATTTATAACATCAGCCTCTTTCTTCAACTACTCTGCTCTCTGTATCTCTCCACGTTTCTTATATTCATTTACTACATCAACCTCTTTCTTCAACTACTCTGCTCTCTGTATCTCTCCACGCTTCTTATATTCATTTACTACATCAACCTCTTTCTTCAACTACTCTGCTCTCTGCATCTCTCCACGCTTCTTATATTCATTTACTACATCAACCTCTTTCTTCAACTACTCTGCTCTCTGTATCTCTCCACGCTTCTTTTATTCATTTACTACATCAACCTCTTCAACTACTCTACTCTCTCTTTATCTCCACACTTACTACCCTGTCACTGGCAAGTGCTCCTCACCCACCATTCCCCCCCCCAACCCTCTCTTTCTTTCTATCCCCTTGCTCCAACTAGAACAAAAAGTAATAAGTGAAGTGAGGCGAACTGAGAAATCTAAAATTGGGCATGAAAGACGGAGAACAGAAAACACTAGATGAACAATCAGAACCTCAGATAAAAAGTGAGTTCTGAAATTTATGACAACATGGCCGTTCCAAAAAAACAACCAAACCCACTATACAATCTCGTATGAAACTAATTGTAAACAAGTTGTCTATGACAAGACATGATTCAGCAAAATAATGTCCTTATTTCGCCATAAAAAACAAGAGCCTAACTCTTCCTCGATACCTTTGTCCTTCTTGTAGGTGCAGCACTGATGAATTTTGAATCTCCAGGCTCAACTGAACGATGATGTGGTAGATGACCCATTAACCACAACATCTGCACACCTGCCCCCCCCTCTTCACCCTTGTTCTTGTTGTAGATGCAGCACTGATGAATCTCCAGTCTCAGCCCAACAACGATATGGAAGATGATTCATCAATCATTACATCTGCACCCAACTTACCTCCCCCCCCCTCCTAAGTAGCCAGCCAAAATGAGCTAGTGCTCAGTGGGCGGTACCTTTGTTCTTCTTGTAGGTGCAGCACTGATGAATCTCCAGACTCAGCTCGACGACGATGTGGAAGATGACCCAGATGACCAGGATCCATGTGGCCCACCATGGCACCATCACCTTGCCGAAGTCCATGCCGATGAAGATTTGAGGAACTGTTGGCAGAAAAAATCAACGCACACAATTACACCGATGAAAGTAAACTATAACTTATATCTGACCCCATCCCCCCATGTCTTTGCGTATTGTGATGACAACAACCCTCAGTTTCCTGTTCCTGTCAAAATTTATATTGACAAGACATATTTCCCGCCTATCGCCGGGTACCCATTCCCACTTCGATGAAGTGAGGAAAATTCATACAACATACCTCTACCAAAGACATAATTTCGGCCCCATGGCAGGGTTCAAATCCATGACCCTTCAGTCACAAAGCACAAAACGGCACTTCTATCTTGTAAACTTACTCCACATCAGTCTTGAATTCTGTTCTCGAAAGTATACATCTACGATATAGAGAGATTTAGATCCAGCGTCTTGCTCTAAAAAAACAACTATGCACCAAATACGCGCCAAAATTTCTAAAACGTCAATACAACGAAGTAAACATTTTGTGGGTTTAAGTTTAAACGAACGCAACATTTTGGGAACATGACTATACCAAATGTATCTAGAAAAAGTCAATAAAATGAAGTTTGGCATGAAGTATCCATTGACACTGTCAAGCACACATCCAAACAGAGTTGGATATTGAGATTCCAGTTCTGGAAGTAGAAGAAGCAGCTGTCTCACACGCACAAAGAAGCACAATACGAAACGGAAGTAGTCCCTAGTAAAATATGAAATGGCTAATGGCAGGGTGAAAACATATGAGAGCTTTCACTTACAGGAAAAACCCATCAAACCCGAGAAATCAAAAGGTAGTTTCCGAACTTTGAAAACATGCCCACGTAACCCTTTGGGACAATTCTTGTCAGAATCATATTTTTGTAGATGTAACGGGCACCTGTGTAAAAAGTTTTTACTGACCCAACAAACGGGCTTAGCTCCATTATAATAAGATGAAGATTTGAGGAACTGTTGGGAGGAAAAGTAAGAGTCAATGCACACAATTACACCGATGAAAATAAAGAATAACTTAGAAATGGACCCCCCCCCCTGCTCCAAATCTTTGTGTATAACAATGAAAACAACCCTGTGTCCTGTTCCTACCAAAATTTATGCCAATGAAAATTAGAGGAATTGTCGAGAGAAAATGTCTAGGCACACAATTCCATTTTTATCAGTACAATTAGCTACATAAAAAATTTTGTTTCGTGTGATCTGCAATACCCTTAGAACTTTTCCATGTGCCAAAGCAAACAATACTTTTATGTTACCGAAGGTATGGGAACATTTTTCCTTACTTTTCTAACTCATTGAAACCACATATAGATCTACGTTTTGAAAAGTGAGCTGAGAATAAAGAAGCTGAGAATACAGAAGCTGAGAGGACTTACTGGCCAACACATTAGCAATGGTCCCAAATGCCCAGTGGAACCAGTTGAAGACGGGTCTGCAGGAGCTGTCTTCAGAGGGGCGGATCAGGGCAAGGACTGGCTGTTGGGAAATGGAATTAATAAATTATTAACAGAAAAAAAGGACAATATTTAACTTTGGCTTCACCAAACAACAGAATTCACACATGTGAAAATAACAAATAAAAACCTTGAAAATCTAACACTACAATACTGTGACAATAACAGAGACACAATTATGCTACTGATAGCAGTAAGCATCAATCAAACAGACTGCAACACTATATTATGAGACAGTTTTTTTCCCCCTGGTCCACATGAAAGGCAAAAACAAGTTCACACCTGAAAAGTTCTGACCAAATTCACACAAACGCTGAGTACCTTATAGAATTACAAGTCTTCAGATTGAAAGCTAAGCAGCTTACTTCCCACTGTTTAGCAAGAGACCTAAACCTAAAAATACTTAATATGCATAGAAAAAAATGGCTCGTAAAAAAAATAAAAAATTAGTTAAAATCCCACATCCAGTAAAATTGGGGGTGGGGGTGTTTGTTCCCTACCTGGACAGCATGCTGCACGAAATCAAAGCTTTTGATAACCACCGTTCTTACAACTATACGCCCCTCCATCCACCGTTTTTACAATGATACCCCCCCCTCCAATTCTCACAATGACACCCCCCCTCCCACAT